TAGCCTTCATAGGGTATTTATGAACTTCGTTTTGAGGAAAACAACTTACTACTCTTCTCTCTCAGATCAAAAAAAATTGTTGGACAAAGCTTGATCAGTAAAGATATTATATCTATTTGTTAAGTGATCATGACTTTCTGGACACCCAATAAATGCTTGAATGCAGCCAAGCGGGGCTGATGAAATCGATCGATCAATTGTCATTTTGAATAAAACACCCTTAATGTTATTGTTAGACTGGAGTCCTTCCTTAATAAATCGAATCGCTACCTTGCGGTCGTCACTTGTTGATAGAAAATTGTTCAACGATACAAGTTCACCTGGTTGAGTATTACTGTCGAATTCTTGCTTCTTCATGGTTTTATCTCAGTAGACTGTAATTGTTGTTGAACCAGGCTTCATTTGATTCGATTGTTCTGAATAGAGTTTTTCGATATTTTGATGGAGGTCTCGAATGAAGATGCCCATTTTAAGCAGAGTCTCCACATGTAGAGTACCCAATGCTTTGTTTAGCATGTGATATGTGAAATATTCTCGAGTATGCCACCATATGAGTTTGTTATTTTCATCCAAACTACTGCGATATTTCTCGGGCGAATTCATCGATAATTTTCAAATGTTCATTGTTGCCGGAACACTTCTCACGTGCGTATTCGGCTAGTGCTTTGATTTCTTTCCTTTCATCAAAAACAATTTGAAGAATAATTTCTTTGAAGAGTTGTATATAGATGAATGATGGTTCTGTTTGATTCAACGATAATACATCAGTAATCATGACTGAATCTTCATCACATTGTTGTGCAGATTCTCGAACTGAGTCACAAATTGGTATAATATCTGTGAAAATACCTTTCACTTTAGACCAATCTTTAACACATTCTTCATATTTCGATTGATTGCAACAAAATACATAAATGGAATAGAATTGAGTCATGTCATGAATATATGGCACTACAGTTTGGCACAAAGCACCAGAAATAATGAAAAATGCTTTTTCGTTTTGAATTTTTGAGATGTAGTCGATACATTCTTTCGTATCTTGGAATGTTTCAATAGTATTGACTGTGCGTTTCAGGTGTTTGATTGAGTTATGGTAGTCGTCGACGGATTCGTCGATTTTGACATCAAGCCAAATTAAGAGAAAATTTTGAATGATCTCATGTGTTTTAGTACGACGACTGCGTTGTGCAATGAGATTTGAGCTCGATTGCTGAGTCAAAGTGGCGGGTGCCGGTGATGATGATGGCCTTATGGCTTTGATAGGATAGTGGTGATCGCTAGGAAGATTGGCTGTTGACGCAGATGTACTGCAGTCCATATTGATTATACATAGTCTGAACAATTATTTGTATGTAGTGTTCATCTGAAATCACAAATTAATGCTATTCGACAACAGAGTTCGTTTATTCAAACGAAAATTTTCGTTGACGACGATTTTTCTTTCACAATTATCAAAATATGTTGTTTGTTGACACTGAAGGACGCTACTCAGCTTTCAGAAAAAATGATGGATGGCAAAGTGTTACAACTACTGTTTGTCAACTTTCTCTTGTTTACATGTTTCTATGTGTCCTGTGTCAAAGCGTGATTGCATTGAGACAACAAATGTCTTGTACATAAATAAACTATCATTTTCTCTTCCAACGAAACGAATGATTCAATAATTTCTTTTTTCTTTTCTACTATTTTATTCCACATGCACATAATCACATTTGTTTTGTTGATCATATAATCAATTATAATGAATAATACAGTGAAAGAATGAAATTTCACTTGTTAGCTTAAAACTTAAAATAAAAGTACCCCATGGTTCTCCAAAGACGATATATGATAGCAAAAAAAGCATTTAAACGACAATGTTTTGATGAAGAAATACAATTGTGAGCAAAGTTCTCCGACTTAAAAACCATGATACCGGATAAATTGAATTGCGAGCAACGATGTGCAAAATGAAGATAATGTCATTGTTATATTCTCTTCATCCGCACCCATACTATTGATTAAACAAAGATTTGTCATCTGAAATATTTATAGTGCAAAATAATGAGTTCCTATGGTGTTGCTTTCATCTGAAACTCAAATTATCTGCGTTTCGATCAATCAAGTGATGACATTATAAAAGGAATTGTAAAGCAGTGATGATGAAATTCATTGCGACGAGAACTCCATCAACGCATATCAATATGTTTTTAGAGGACGCTGTGCGTTTATTACTTAATTATCATTCATGTGATTCAATCTCTATTATTAGCTGTCTCTACAGCTTTGATGAATAAAATCAGTTTGTCATCGTTTTAATTAGCTTGAAGCTTGAAAACAAATAAGCCCACAAAGGTTTTTTGGGTAGCTTTCTCTAAGAAAATGAAAGTTCATGTTGAATATTTGAAAATGATTGGTATAGATTCGCTCAAGAAATTTCATTCTCATGTTTGGACTAGCACTTTTTTTTGATTCTTCCTCTTCGAGATCATCGTGAACGAAAATGATAACTTTGGATCGTACGTCTAGCACATTCAGAAATAAAGAGAACTTCCAAAGGATTAGATAAACTCGGGGCGAAGTCGAGGACTTTCATTATTGATCCTGCTCATAAAAGCTGGAGTTCGGTTGAGTGGACACTAGCACATCACTTTTAATTATCTCAGGTAAAAGATGGAAACCAAATTGCCACTTCGTGATATTTATTGAACACGAACGAAAACTCATATTGAAGATTCAAAAACGTATGTATCATCTCGAGTCAACGATCTCTTTGATATAGTTCAAACGAGTTCCTAGCAACTCTCTGTTCTGTAGAACACTGCAACACAAACTACACATGTCAAATATGGAGACCCAAGGCGTACACGATCGAGTACACAAGTGCTATTTGGTTATTAACTATTTGTTTTTCGAAGTCGTCTTCTTCTTTTAGGAGTGAACATTCATTTGGCAATAGAACACAGAATAAACCAGAGAAAATTCTTCGTATTTAACGATCACTTGTATTGTAGAAAGAAAAAAACAACGTCAGTAGTCACAATCGATTAAAGTCTCTCACTTCGTCTCTCACCCACACCCTTGAACTAAGTACATTCACATCGAATGAAACTTTCAGCCATATGTCATGACATTTTCGAGAAGTATTCAACAAACAAGAGTCCAAATATCTAATTTGGCACTGCAGAATTCTCTGTGTGCTTCAGTTCTATAGGTTTGTTTTTTATTTGAAGAACATGTCAGAGTGCAATTGGCTAAAACGAAGCTATTCAAAAATTTTCAGATGTGCGTTCAGAACAAAATATAAACAAAGAAACGAAAAAGCTTCTCATCTGTATCTGAAAAAAACTAGATCACATATACAACATTATGTCATTTATGAAAGACCAAATCTCGAACTGACTTCTCACACATTTATCTCAATTTTTTAAAGAGAGTGGACTCAAGTCATTGAATAAAATCTACATACTCTGTACATCATGTTCACATGATTAAAATACTTTAATTTTGAACTTTATCTTTTAACATATAATCATGATTATCATAAATTTTGAACATATAATCTATAAATTTAACCATGTTTTTTTTTGTGATTTTTCTTTTAGTTTTAACTGAAAACATATTGATTAAGAAAGATTACAGAGAACTTTGTACCTTCATACTTTTTAAGATAACAAGGTGAACATTTTGATGTATTTATCTATCGACAAAACAAACTTTTGCCGATAACATTAGCATAAAGAGTATTTTATTTTATTGTTATTCGAAATCACTGTTCACATATTAATAAATTCTGAGATACACTCAATCGACGACATTTTATAAATACAATAAAAACAAAGAAAGAATTTGCTTTTTTTTCCTATTTTTCATTTTAGCTTACTGACATATTGGAGAACACGATATACAAAGAAAAAACAGACTCACTCTAACATGAATCCTGTTAGATTTTCTGTAGCAGGAAGTGAAAAAAAACCTTATTTGATTTCTATCATGTTCAACATAGGTATTTATCAGTAACCAACTTTATGTTAACACAAATTGAATCATATATATCCATATGGACGATAAGACGATTTTGAACTTTCAATCAATTATACATAAAAATAAAATAGACAAGTTAATGAGTCATGTAAAAATGAAATTTGTCGTCTGTCTATCATTCTATTTTTTTGTTTTCTATTATTTTTCTACATGTCGACATTTCTCGTTTCTAGCATATGTCAAACAACACTTTTCCAAACAGATCATTTATCATCTTCTTTTTTCTTCAAAAATCATTAATTGAAGTAGTCAATTTTAGATGACATGGCACATGATCATACTATTTGTTGCTCTTATTATCTTTTAAATAAAACAATGTTAGGCTTCTTTTTTCTTTCTTGACATGCATCTACTTTCCTTTTTTAATCTCAGAAATAAAAAAAAAAGAGAAAAAAAAACAGTAAAAACGCATTACGTGTCAAAAAGAACGATCTCGAATCGTATGTTCGGATGAATGGAAGCTTTAAAAAATATATTTGATCTTTTCTATATCTGCAAAAATCTCCATATTTTCCCGTTCTTTTTTAACCTTCAAGAAGAGAAAAAAAAATATTGCATACCGTTGTGTATATACCAATACACGCAAAACATCCCTTCAGCATCTGCTTATCGTCTTATGTAGATTCAACATCACGGTGTGTACTAATTCTTTTATTTTTGTATTTCTTGTTTGTGTCGGTCATTTAAGACTTTTACGCTCTCATGTTAATCATATCTATGGAACAGTTTCAGACAAAATCGTTGTTGAATACACTCATAACTGTTATAATTGAAAAAAATTCGATTGACGATCAAGATTTTTTAATCAAAGAATAGTAAGTCAGAAATGAAAATTATATAAAATTATGCAGCAAAATAGAAAGATTTGAAAAGAGGAGAAGAGAAAATTGATAAAAATGTTAACCTAACGTACTTCCTCTTTTCCAGATCAATATTTGCTTTTAGCCTACGTAAATTAATGTGAAAGTCAAATTAAAATGGCCACAATCGGTAGTAGTGCTATAGCTACAGTTCAAGCTAGACGCTTTAGTACTCGTGCACAACGTAATATGCGTAAACGTGGTGGAGGCCATGGTATTGGTATAGCTGGTGGTCGATCTAGTTTGTATAAGCAAATGTATGGCAATGGTGCTAGAAATGGAGTAAGAATAAATAATCTATTTATATTTAAATAATTAATTTTTTTACATATATATTAGGAAATAAATCTCAATGAACAGTTTGTACATGCATGTGAAAATGGTGATTATAATACTGTTAATCGAATTCTTGAAGAAAATCCAAAATTTAATATTGATGTAACTGATCAATTAGGTCGTACAGCAATGAGATTAGCTATTGAAAATGAACATCTTGAAGTAAAATTGTTGATTAGTCTTTTTTTTATGTTGTAATAAATAAATGTTTTTTTTTTCTAGGTTGTTACACTTCTTTTAGCATTATGTGACGGACAAAAAATGCGTGAAGCATTATTACTTGCTATTTATCTTGGACATGTTCAAATAGCTGAAGCATGTTTACGTCATCCAAAATTTAAAGTTTTAAATGAAAAAAAAGTTTTTACTGGTAATGATGATTCATTTTGGCAAACACCATCATCAGATGATGCACAATTTGCACCTGATATAACACCATTAATATTAGCATCACAATATAATCGAACTGAAATTGGTAATTTTATTTGTTTTTATTTACTTATTAGTTTTCTTTTTAACTTTTTAGTTCAATTACTTTTACGTGGTGGTGATCGTATAACCAAACCTCATGATTATCATTGTAAATGTCAAGAATGTCATAATAAATTTGAATTTGATTCTTTACGTCATGCACAATCACGTTTAAATGCATATCGTGGTCTAGCAAGTGAAAGTTATATTAGTTTGGCATCTATTGATCCAATTGTAACAGCATTTGAACTTGGTCATGAATTAAGAGATTTATCTGGCAAAGAAAAATATTTTAAAGTAAAACAAAAAAAAACAAACAAATTAAATGTTGTTGCTTTTCTTTTATATGACGTTATTTTGTATTTTTATTTAGAATGAATATCTTAGTTTAGCTGATCAATTAAGTGCATATGCTGTAAAACTACTTGATAAAGTTCGTGGTCATAAAGAACTTGATTGTGTTTTGGGAAAAACAGGAAAAGAAACAGAAGAAAAATATGTTCTATTAGCTAGACTTTATTTGGCTATTAAATATGAAGAAAAACCAGTAGGTCAAAATTGATTTAAAATATTTTTCGATTTGCTTAAGTCTCATTTGATTCGAGCAGATGAATTGATTTGTGCAAAAACGATAAAATAAATATTTTTTCTTTTAGTTTGTTGCTCATTCAAATTGTCAACAGAAATTAGTTGAAATCTGGCATAGTGATATACGTAATCTATTTAAATTAAATCCATTAATTATACTTTTATTAATTCTTGCATATGTATTTATATTACCATTTGCTTGTGTATTTTATATTTTAACGTCATGGTCAAAATATACAATTAAAGTAAAAAAAAAATATTTAAAAAAAATTATTATACAAAGAAACTAAAATCTTTATCTATTTTGTTTAGTTTCAAAAATTTCTTAAACAACCATGCATAAAATTTATTGGTCATACAATATCATACGCAATATTTATTATTTTAATAATTCTATCAAGTTTATTATTTGCTGGCGAATTTCAAAAGCCATTGAAACGCTTATTAAATATCTATCCAAATCTTACACAAATATTAAATGACACAATAAATTTATGTCAAAATACATATTCAAATTCTTGTACTTATTATCCACAAAATTATGATTTTTATTTTCGACAAAGTACACCAACATGGATTGATATAGCAATAACTGTTTTTGTTATTGGTAATAGCGAATGATAGAATAGCTTTTTTTTTTTCTTTTTTTAATATAATATGAATTTTTACTTTTTTCTTTTTTTGCTAGGTTTTCTTTGGCACGAAATAAAACAAGGTTATACAGATGGTCTTAAAGATTATCTTCTTTCATGGAATAATATTGTTGATTCATGCATGAACATTTTATATATATCATCGTTTGCACTTAAATATTATGTGTTTTTTAAAGTAAGAATTAATTCATACAAAAAAAAAACTAGATTAAAAAATGAAAATTTACAAACTCTATTTTTCGGAAATCAATATTTTTGTAGTTTTCTCAAAGAAAATGCTATTATAAACTAGAATTCATTAAATTCTTATATTGGTGAAACAGAAATTTATAACATTCACTAATGAATCAAAAAACAATCGAATTAATGCTTAGTTCAATAGATTGAATTTGATTCATACATTTATCGTGTTTAAAATTCTTCAGATCCAAAATATTTTGCTATTAGTAAAATACGTTCTGAGCTACTCTGAGCACTTTTTTCCTTAGAACTTATGCTAGTCAATAAAGCTTGAGATTCTGAATGCATTGAAAGCCATTCTTGAAAAAATATAATAAAATGCAGAAGGTTTTCAGAACGATTCACTTCGAATCTAAAGTTCAAACAAATAATGTTCGAAAAAATTATATTGGATAAAGTTGTGATAAATGCTTGATGGCTCTAGTCAGTTCAAAATATATAGCAAGATAATATTTGACTTCATTTTCCAAGATTTTATTTTTTTGTTCTGGAGATTTTCACTCAGAGCCGATCATTCGAGAAAGTTTTCGCTTTTTATCTTAATATTTTTTTCCGAAGGGTTCAGAGTGAAATCTAGTAGACTCATAATTTCAAGCTCTATCAGCTGATATAGGTTCCAAGTAAAACGGTGCTTAGAGTGAATCAAAACATATTTTAACAATATCCAGATTTTTGCATTTGGCTTCGGTCGACTCATCCCTTGATACTCTCAATGAAGTTTCCTAATTGGAAATGGACAGTCACTTCGAACAAACGAAATACTTTATTTTCCGTTTTTTTTTGTATCTGGTGACTAGATCTCTTTAGGTTCAACATTTTTGAACTCGGACTCGAATCAGTGAACCCTAGGCGTTTCAGATATCCAAGAACTCAATAAAAATAAGTTGACATTTCAAAGTTTGTTTTGTACATGATTTCCATAAAATTACTCTAAAATTATATCTAATACTAAATAGAATATTTGACAAACAATATCTAAGCATTTTTAATGATAATTTGATTATTTTAGGTACGATTGGCTTCTCAAACATTAGATAAGCCAGAATTTAAAGCTAATCTTCAAAATATTTATAATTTAACTGAAACTGAACAATATCATATGTATCAAACATTTTATTGGTTAAATGCTGGTAATTGAAATAATTTTCTTTTAATAAAATATTTCAATTATATTTTCATATAACAATTTCTTAGATCGTTTCTATTGGGTGTCATTTGATCCAGTTAATGTTGCTGAAGGACTTTTTGCTATAGCAAATATATTTAGTTTTTCACGTATTTGTTTTCTTTTACCAGCAATACAGCATTTAGGACCATTGCAAATTTCACTTGGTCGAATGATGTCTGTATGTAATATAAAAAGAAAACATCTTTTTTTTTTGTTTTTTGAAAATGATATTGTTTAACTATCTTTTAAGGATATTGGAAAATTTATAATTATATTTCTTATCATATTTTGTGGATTTATGTTTGGTTTAAATAATTTATTTTGGTATTACAGTGCATCAGTACGTCAAAATGTTGAAATTGTAAATCATACTCTTGGTGATGATGATCCACCATTACCAGCTGAAACATATTTTGGAACGTATGTGTTTATTTTATTGTATTTATGATTAAAATATTGTTCATTTTAGAATGGGTGGAACATTTAAAACAGTTTTTTGGTCATTATTCGGTTTATCAGAAAAAGAAGGTGTTTTATTAGGAAATTATGATAATGTTTTCACTGAAATGGTTGGATATTTAATTTATGGAACATTTAATATTGCAAGTGTTATTGTTTTACTTAATATGCTTATTGCTATGATGTCGAAATCTTATGAAACTATTGAAGAACATGCTGATGTTGAGTGGAAATTTGCACGAAGTAAACTTTATATGGAATATATTCAAGAAGGTAAAATATATTTAGTTGAAATCAAGAGTATATATCTATATCTTCGTTTGAAATTATGTGAATAGATATATGATTTGTGGATTTCCTGATGAAATTTATATATATATATATCTTCATTGCTATGGAACCTCTGAATAACATAAAAAATCTTAATGATTAATCTTGACTTTGTTTTTTTAATAACTAATTGTAGATTTAATCTCAGTTATTACATGATAATTGATATAAAATTTTGGTCAAATATGAAGAATAATTACAATATTGAATAGAATGCTGTAATGAATTCAGAAAACAGCATTTTCCTGTTTTAGGAATTAGTATTGTCTAGAAAATAACTTGCTTACTACATGGAAACGTAATCAAATGTGTGTAATACTATTGAGATAACAAAATGTCTTTTCCTGAAATAACTGTAATATCTAGTTGAAGATTAATTGATGAAAATTTAATATCCAAATAGAGTTGTTTTGACGAAACTTGTTTGGATTCTCACAGTTATTAGTATTGATCGTCCATACTTCTTGAGATACCTTAAATTTGCAAAAGATCTATTTCAATATTTGATTGTATAGCTTCATCAAATCTAAATTCATCATAGGATTCTTTTTTTTTATCATAAGTATTGAAGACTAGAGTTGAATTTTTTGTGCCCAGTCAAGTTGGAAAACTTATGATGTTTCAAAGTTTCGAAGAAAATTTGGAATGGTCTATAATAAACAAATCTTGTAATAGTTATACCACAAGCAATGAATAGTGGAATATAATATGAGAAATGGACTTTTTTCTGAGCTATACACACACTAAGAATTATGTCATCAACTATAGATCGAACTTTGTAGTTAAACATTATTCTTTGAAGCTAAGACCTTCGTCTATCGACAGCAAGAATGAAATACTTTACTCGATCTATTCAAAATTTCTGGTAAAGTTCATTGAAATATGTCTTCAAATAAAAATATAAGGATCATAAAATTGAATACTGGAATCAGAAGTGAAGTAGTCGTTTTGTTCTAAGTATCGATTCTAATTTTGAGTAAGAATTATGGGAAGAGGACTTTTTTTTGACATTCGTTGATAAAAACCAGAGAAGTAATTTTTCATTTACTTATCTATATATTAATTATAGAGAACAAGAATGAAAAATCAAGCATCTCTCATTCGTTTCACAAAAAAATGCAGATAACGCGGGAAAAAGTGATATCGTAATATAAAAGCGGCATAATAAGTGCATTTCATAAATACAGTATGTTACAACGTGTAAATTTTTTAATACTCAACTCTAATTCGAACAAATCAGAGCTGCTAGTAGACCAGTTTTTTTCTGGCTTGGCTTGCAAATCTAATCAAACTGATTGATATTTATGATTTTTCGAATGCATTTAATTCTATAACTCTGTATTAATGTATCATTCTAGTTTCAGTTGTTTGCATAATTTATTTCCCAAAAGATAAGAGAATAACAAGTTCTTGCGCGAACAGCAAATCTAAAGAAAGACAAAATCATCATAAATATCTGCCAGTAAAACTAATTGTTAGAACAATAATAACGTTAAATTAAGAAAAAACGGAATAGGAAAACACAAAGCAACAAGACAAACAAAAAAAAATAGAGCAAGTAATAAAAATTAGAAAATATTTCTGTTTAAAATATATAAATAAATGAGACCGATCTCTTCTCTGACGATCGATTATCTTGAAAGACAAATAAAATTTGTAAGAGATTGTTTTACTTTGTGTATTTTCTATTAGTATAATGAAGCAAAATAATTCATGTGAGTTTCACATTTCAACATCAAAGGAGATGCGCTAACAAGCTTTTTCATACAAGAAAGGCTTGAATTAATGCGCTGTTTTTGATTATATCAATACTGTTTTGCATAATCAAAAAAATCTAATCAGCATAACAAAAACAACATATGATCAGGCATACAATGAAGAAATAAAGGGAAATGTAGGGAATACTTGATACGTTTAATAAGAGACAAGAACATTTACATTTGACAGTCAATATTTTTAAAATTATGGACACAAAATTTACTATTAAATTGTTTTGGAATTAAACAAGTTCTTTCATTAGTCAATGTCAGTTCTAAAACACTATCTTGATGTTCAGTTCTAATATTTCATGAATTTATTGAAATACTTTCGAATAATAAGACAAGACATCAAAATTGTATTTCCAAAACGTATGAATTAAGCTAACAATTTTGACTTTGTTTGTTAACCAGATCGAATATTATTTGAACGGATGAGACTAAGTTATCAGGTCTGAAACAACTCTTATCTTGTAGAAAATCATTATATGTATTTTTTTTAATCAACAATAAAAACTTGATTTTTTCAAGTTTCTCAAAATACTTTTACGATAGAAAAAAGATTTATTTTTTAGGTGGAACACTGCCAGTACCATTTAATCTCATTCCAACTCCAAAAACTTTTTATTATCTTTATGAACGAATATTTCTATGTAAAAAAAAACATCCCTCAGATTCTCTTGAACATCGTGGTTCAATAGATGGTGAAAATTATGTGCCAGCTATGATTCGACGTCCACCACCAAATATTCAAACATTAAATATGGGTAAAAATGGTCCTATATCAACAATATCTAATGGTCAAGCATTAAATGCAAATGATAATTATCTGCGTCGAAAATCATTTGATCTTAATCAAACATTAACATATCGTAAAGTAATGGAACGTGTTATAAAACGTTTTCTTTTACATAAACAACGTGAAGAACAAGATGAAATTCGTGAAGGTGATTTTGAAGAACTTAAACAAGATATTCAAATGTTACGTTTTGAAATGATGAATCGATTAGATGAAACACGTGATGATTTGGCTAAAAATAGTCTTTTGTTAAATGAAGGTGTACTTGTTGTTGGAGAATTATTATCATCATTAACACGTGAAACAAATCCATCAATAAAAGAAAATTTTTATTCATTTAAAAATAAATTTTATTCAACGCTAGATCAAATTCGTTTAGTTGATAGTGGTTTAGAATCAAGTGAAACATTAACAGCATCAAATGCATCATTAGTTGCTAGTACAATATCAATGCCTAATTTAATAAATCAAATAAATCCATCACAAACTTTACCAACTTCGAATTCGGAACCAGCTTTTCCAACATCTTATTCTGAACCTACTTTAGCAATAAATAATCAAAATGAATCAGATATTAATCCAATACAAGTCATAAAACATATAAGTGCAGCACATATTAAATTATCAAATATTGCAGAGGAAAATGAAGAAAATGAAAATATTGGAAATAAGAAAAAAGACGAAGAAGAAGAAATTGAAGTTGAAGCACGTCATATATCAATTCAAACATCGATACAAAATGACGATGCAGAAAATTCAAAAGATGAAACACATGTTTTTTAGAATTTCAAGTTTTCTTATTTTTATGTTGGACTATACGGTGCTGCGAACTTTTCATTTTTCATTGTGTCTATCATTGTCTTTTATTTTTCAAAAATAAATGTATAAAAATCATGTCAATGATTCAAAATGATGTTACCTCTTTGAATTATTAAGGAAACAGCTTCATATATTATGTAAAACCCAAAAGAATAAACATTTTATTCTAATAAGTCACGTAAAGCTTTTAGTATCTTTTTCTATATACGACTAATGGAAATACAATAAAACTTTTATCGCTTTCGAGAGACAAAATTAGTTAATTCTGTATGTTTTGAAATATTTCACAATTACTTTTTCTTTGGTATATTCTTGACCATGGAATGATGATTTAATAGTCATTGTCTGTTGAGAATTAAAAGTTCGGCTCTTTTAGTTGAAGATTTCTCGTGAATCGTATTTTACAAAAATTGCTATGATACTTATCAGTTATTCTTATATTTCGTATGTACGGGATGAACCATAAATAGCACTAGGATAAAAAATTGAAATATATCCGCTTCGATTCGCTCGAATAAGCTGATTCTGTTGGCTAGTAGTAGAAGCTTATTTCAAATGTCTCTTTCATACAGATAATGTAAACAAATACTACTTTCAAGTTATATTTTTGACCTCACTAAAGAAATCTCACCTACTATTAAAAAAGGCGTAAAATGAACTTTATAAATGATACTACATTGATGCATATAGAGTAAATTTTCATAACTATTTAGTTTAAACGTCAACGGTTATTAAATTTTGAATTTTTAAACACGAAACGCTAGTTTTTGAAAGAAGTTTGATACCGATAGAGCTGAAATGAGGCACTAAATTCAACATTTAAACTCACTAGTTTCAGCAACTTCCTCCATGTGCACTAATATAGTATCATGTATAAAGTTGGTTTAACTTTCTTCTTTTTTTGCTAACAGATGAGATCTCTTTAGTGAGACCAAAAATACAACTTGACAGTAGTATTTGTTTACATTATTCGTATCAAAGAGAAAATTTTCAAAAAAATCAGACAAATTTTATCTGATTATTTAAGATTGCTATATTTTTTTCTAAAGAGTTTCCAATCGAAGAATCAAAGTACAGTTCGAAAAAACTTTTGTCATTATTGACTATCTTAGAATAAATGTGTCAGTAATTTCGATCAAAGCCAGGTGTTCTAACTTTAATTATAAAAAATAAAGATATCGTACACTTATTTCTTATTGAACAAAATGTTATATATTTGTTGTTGAAAACATATTGTAAAATTTTATCTTACTATCATTAAAGACTTCTTGTATGATGTAAGGTCGTTCATCTATTAGAATTTCATATATGATGTACAAGAGTAATTCAAATTTGAATAAACACGTACAACTGTTCAATATGAATGAAAGTTATTTAACTTAATAAACATTTGACATTGGAGAAGGTATTCTTTTTTTTTTTTTCTTTTACTCATTATACATTTTATTTTCTAATGACACGTACTTAATATAAATGAAAGCAAACGAAGGACAAAATGTTTATAGTATTTATCTATATTGAGAGTAGAAAGAAATCAAAAGAGATATTGTTATTATCGTTTTTATTATTTCAATATCAATATGAATTACAAACCTTTCGAAGAAGAAAAATTCAAACGAATAAATAAAAAATTAAATTTTCAACGATGGTTCTATTCAATAATAGGAATTATAACTATTTCTATAATAATTCTTCTAACTCTTGGACAAATCCAAGATATGAAAAAAGAAAACTATGAATTTGCAATTTGTCTTTTACTTATTGTTCATTCAGGTTTGATACCATTAAAATTAATTTATCATTTAAACGATAACTTTCTATGTTTTATTAGTTTTTGTAATTATTTCTATTCTTTCAACAGCTATTTTCTGTCGTAAGTTGTTGTACAGCAGTACACAAAGCAAATGATTATCTTTCCTGGTTTTTTTTCTTGTCGTAGGTATTACTAATGCTGTCTTAACAACTTTAACCATTATACTTCTATGTACTTATACTGGCGTTCATTTTTATATTCGATTTTCATTATGTCCTAATCATCCGAATGAAGATTTTCATTTGATAACGGTATAAATACTACAGTCACTATTAGACAGATGCGGGGCCAGTCTCGGTCACCGAGACAAAAAATAATATAAAATTTTGCCAAAACAGAGATCAGGATTGAAAAAACTTGGTCTCGCACATATCTAGTCATTCTTATTTTTGGATAAAACTTTTGTTTTTCTCAATAGGTTCGATTAGGTTTTATATTAACTTTATTAATCTTATTACTTCCATGGACGAATATTATGGTTCATGAATACCAAATGAATAATCTGTACATATCATTGTTTCGATTGATATGTATATATATATAATATTGACTTTTGTTTTTTTTTTTCTTTATTATAGACCAGACAAAGAAATGATAAATCCAAGATCAACAACATTTTCTTGGTTTTTATATCTTGATTTTATGTTAATAGTAAAGATAGATGAAAATAATCTTCAAAAGAAAATAATGTGTCTTGTTGTTTTTCACATTTGCATAGAGTTCTTTATTAATATTAAGCATTCGTAATCAATCAGATTTTGGTCTATATGAAATTCTCTTATTATCAATTGGAATACCTCTTACTTTATTATGGTTATATACAGGAATGTTTATGGTAAAATAGGTTTTTTTTCTTTTGTAATTAGAAACCAAATAAATTTTTCATTTTGATTTTAATCAATATCAGACAAACAGCAAAACTCGTCATTGGGTCTTCTCAACTATTTTTTATATATTATCACTAATATACATCATTCATTTAAGTTGTATTACTTATGGGGTAATTCTTTTTTTGATTCTATACAAGATATGTTATAATAATAAGATAATCTTTTTCTTCAGGCTATTTCTGAATATAATATGCTATCAAAAATCAATGAATCAACATTATTTCCTTTACTTATTCTAATATTTATTTGTAGTGGTACGAATATGGTTATTCATACACTAACAGTCATAATTAGTTTTATTTTAATTGGTATATAAATATGTAATGAATGTTTTATTTTTGTTTTTTTTTTTGAATTGATAAATAATACTTAATTAAAATATCTTTGTATTTGTCTATATGTATGACAAGAAGGCATTATTGAAGACTTCTTGTGAACGCGTGATTTTATCTATGCTAATCTAAGGAAGTCGTCATGATGCAGATGATGATCATCTTCATGTCGTCTTTTCTTCTCATTTCTGCTTTTTTGTTGTTGATGTTGTTGTTATTATTATTCCTATGTTGCTCAGTTGACTAGCGAATTATCATAACAACTCGACTGATTCTGTGAGTGACACCCGAAGTTTTTATGTATATATAAATGTGTATGTGATCAAATTTCAAAAGAAACCCAAAGCGTTCACATAGAGTTTGACCAAAGAAAAAAGAAGAAACAAAAGACAAGCAACAGAAGAAAGACATTAGATAAGCTGTTAGTTTGTTCATCTATTCTTCTATCGGATAAAAAAAGCTTCGTTTTTATCTGTAAAAACCATTCGTAAGTCAAAAACAAGGCAAGTATTATTTGGAATTAGTTTAAATACGCATATAACAGTATTAGTTTGATAGAAAGAAAAATAATTGACTATCCTTTGTTTCAAAATATATGTTCAAGTATTTATCTAATTATAAATATATGTTCTTGTTGAGTTTGATATTAGAAAAAATTAATACTATTTGTCTTTTTATTCTTGATATTGGTATTGAACAGATGCTTTATGACGATTTCCTTTATATATGCGTGTTTATGTTGCCCATTCAATCGTTCAAAAAAAAAGAAAGAAAATTTCTAATCAATTTTTTTCTTCGCTTGTTCTTGCCTACTTTCCATTATCAAAGTAATATGCGTTCATATAACGGATTCATTTAAAGACGTCATCGTCTTCGTCCGTCACATATTGTGACGGAACAAACAAAATCTACTTGGAACTACATTGTCAATTTGCCCATTTTCCCATACTTTAATTTTGACGTGTGTATATAGGTCTGTATTTGACATTTCTTTTCTTATTTTTTCCTTCTCACGCTATTTCTTTCTCGTTGTCAATGAATCCATAAATAGTAAATCATGGTTTTGAACTGGAGTGAGCTCTATTGCAATCGCAATGTAACGCGCCTTGATGGTGTCTCAATATATATAGAGTAGAACAAAGACAAGCGACACGATAGAGCAATTATATCGATAAACACGTTAAACGACATTTTGGCGGTTAAATGGAAGAAAAAATAATGCCATGGGCCCAAATTTTGACATCAATTGTGGTCTCACCGGAAGTCCATCTATCGATCACAGAGAATGCGAGCAAAAGCAAGAACTCTGCAAACAAACAAACAAACACTTATCATCGTCATCATCATCATCATCATCATCACCATCATCTTTTTTTTCTTTTTTTTATTCGATCATTCTCTCTCTTCTTCCATCTCTTCGTTTACTTCTATTCTTTATGTGTATATACGTAGGTTAAATCCACTTAAAAGTCATTTTTTCTCTCGTAGGGCTGATCTTTTTTTTCTTTTATGACAGATCGATCGTTTTATTTCCTAATCCCTATCATATAGATTTATCATATAATTAAAAAATAAGGAATAAACTTGATTTCTCAACATCATTTACACTTTAGGTTTTTTTTTCTTTTCAGTTAAACAAAAAAAAACATCATTTGTCAAATAAAATGTCTTATGCAATTGTTGAATCTTTAAGAGAATTTTGGTATAAATGGCGTTCATCACGTGTACTTATTTTATTTATTGTCTTTGTTGCTTTATTTCTTGATAATATGCTCTTAACAACAGTCGGTAAGTTTTGTAAATTTTTGTTTTAGAAATTTCTTCTAATCTGTTTCTTTTATTATTATTATTCTTTTTTTTGTGAAAAAAAGTACCTATTATTCCTGAATATCTTTATCGTCTTCAACATCCAACAGAAGCAAAGGATGACACATTCAAATTTTTAGCTGAAAATTGTTCAAATAAAGAAATTTTTCGACAACGAAGTTATTTTGTTCGACATCCATCTGAACTTCGAGTTGTACTTGCTACAACATGTGGTTGGGCTGTTGATTTGGGTATGAATAAAACAGAAATGGAAAAGAAACAGCGATCAATTAGTTTAGAACGCGTAAGAAACCGTGACTTTTTATAAATATGTATTTGATAATAGTTTATGTTAATATTCAATAGAAGCGGAAATGAAAAAAAAAGAATAGAGAAACATACAGAAAAAATTCTTCTTTTTCTTCTCGTTTTGATTTATTTTACTTTTTGTGTTTTGAAATAGGAAAATCGATGGATCGGAGTAATGTTTGCATCAAAAGCTTTTGTTCAATTATTAACAAATCCATTTGTTGGGCCATTAACAAATCGGTAAAACGAAAATATTGAATTTATATTATTCTTATTTTTTTTTTCATATATTAGAATTGGTTATAGTATTCCAATGTTTTCAGGATTTGTTATTATGTTTGTATCAACACTTAGTAAGAATTTGAAAGAATTTATATGATAAGAACAAGTATTATTTTTCTTTCTTCTAGCATTTGCTTTTAGTAAAAGTTTTGGTCTATTATTTCTTGCCCGAGCAATACAAGGCATTGGATCGGCTTGTTCTAGTGTATCAGGTAAAGAAGTACAAATCAAACAGGAAAAAAGCAATTATGTAAATTTATTTAGGTCTTGGAATGTTGGCTGATCGTTATCCGGATGATGAAGAACGAGGTAAAGCAATGGGAACTGCATTAGGTGGATTGGCTCTTGGCGTTTTAGGTAATCTATTTCGATAGATTTAATTTATTTCATGATCATTGTTTTAGTTGGTCCACCATTTGGAGGATTTATGTATGAATTTGTAGGCAAAGCATCACCATTTTTAGTCTTAGCAGCATTAGGTTTATTCGATGGCTGTAAGAATTCATTTATTTGTGATCTATTGACATAAAGAGTTTTTTTTTTATGAATAGTATTACAATTAACAGTATTGCAACCTGGTGTATCCGGTGAACCAATAGAAGGCGCTTCGCTTAAAACACTTATTAAAGATCCATATATTCTTCTTGCAGCTGGTAAAGAAAAGTAAACAGATGATTTTATTATATTTATTTATCATAAAATAGGTGCAATTTCATTTGGTAATGTTGGAATTGCAATGTTAGAACCATCATTACCAATTTGGATGATATCAACAATGGGTGCAACTGAATTTCAACAAGGTAAAAATAATTGATTAATTTTAACGTTAAATATGAAAAAAGAACAGAAACATCTAGGAGCTGCATTTTTACCTGCTTCAATTTCGTATTTAATTGGTACAAATTTATTTGGTCCAATGGCTCATAAAATAGGAAGGTTTGTATACATACAAAAAAAAAACAAACTCTTTTCCTCTTTACATATATATTCTCTGATATATTTAGATGGTTATGTTGTATGATTGGTATGTTTCTTATATCAGTTGCTTTAATTGGTGTACCAATGGCTAAAAGTATATATGGGTTAATTATTCCAAATGGTGTTCTTGGTTTTGCTATTGGTATGGTTGATTCATCAATGATGCCAACAATGGGTTATTTAGTTGATATTCGTCATGCATCTGTTTATGGTAGTGTTTATGCTATTGCTGATGTTGCATTTTGTCTTGGTTTTGCCATAGGTAAATTTATTATTACTATTATTATTGTTTTTTCTTCGAAAAACCTTATCTTACTTAATACAATCATGTGTTTTTTTTTCTGAAGGTCCTGCTTTAAGTGGTTTTATAGTACAAGCAGTTGGTTTTCGTGGTATGCTTTATATTATTTCATTTATTTGTTTTTGCTATGCACCAATGATGCTATTTCTACGAAATCCACCAGCAAAAGATGAAAAAATAGTAAATTGTTTTATTTTTTCAAAATCTCTTCATTTATATACTTAAATTTTTTTTTGTTTTTTTCTTTAGTCATTAATCATGAATGAAAACCATAATTCATTTTCTTATACACGCAGCAAATCTCTTGACAATGAAAATGGTTATTGATATCAAAAAAGAAAAACAACAATGATAAACTCTATTTATTTAGCAAAAGAAAATAAAAAATAGCAGCAAAACTTTCTTTTTTTTTACTCTAAAGTTGTATATATCAACAATAAAAGAAAAGAAAAGACAAGTATAATAAAAACTAACAGCTGTTAAGAGTATAAGAATTAAATAAAGATATCGATTCATACTCAGATAAAAAAAAAATGTCAACAAATGAAAGTCTTCAATGGGCACGCATTGAAACAATTAATATTCCACCTCAACCACGTAGTAGTCATAGTACTGTTATTTATAATGGTTCT